ACAGTATCCCCCGTCCCGCTACGTGCAGCCTGGATGGCGGGCTAAACTAGATGGCTGGGACTCAAGAGCAAATAAATTGGAGGAAGTTGCAGGAGATGCGGTAGCTGCTACTCGTGAGTCCCAGCTAGCGTAGCGGCTGCGGGTGATACGCTCGGCGGTGGGTTTAATCGGAAGAACACTATCGATAACCTGTGTCGGAGCGCGTGGTCTCCCCGCCATGTCGCTATTATCATGTGTATTGTTGCGTTTCTCGAAATTGTCACAACGGACAGAATCCTAGTTTTGCCGTGATGTGTTCGTCGGAGAAAGTGTGCAATTTGCATGTGATTGAGGCCCTGTCAGGGTGTGTTTTTAGTCGCCATAATATGTGACCGTTATTTGGCTCAAGGTCATTTAAAAAAAAAAAAAAAAAAAAAAAGTCTGGCTGCGCCAGGGAGCGAACTCATAACCTTCTGATCCGTGGCAAGTGTCTAGCTGCTCCGCCACGGAGACTCCCAGAGGTGTCAGACTTGGACATTAACTCTATGAGTCCCAGGGGGTTTATCATCAGGGGCCCAGTGGAATTATTTAATTTCACAAGTGTAGCACATTAAAACAGACAATACTAATTCAATTGCCGTGCAACATACACATATTATACATCATAGTGACCAGGGATTGTTGAGGAATAATTATAGAATATAGCTGCAACAAATAGTTGCGTTAGTAATTAAATATTAGTAAATAAGCAGACGGTATGTTTACAAAAATTAAGTAACATAAAGAAATTCCACTACCATCATTGCAATCAAGGAAAACTGGTTAAAATATATCAAAAAAGAATCACAAATGAATATGAACCACTTTGTAATGTATAAGTAAAATATAAACTCAATCTATGCATTAGGTTTTGTTCCAAAGAATCTTTTGAAGCATCATAACAGAGCACCATTATTTGGTAAAGAAAACTGACTCTTAAAACAATAAGTATCTTCACTCAAAACAGAGTTTATGTAACGCTCAATTTGCCTGTTATTTTGTAGCTATGTTCCTAAATAATAAGGGGAATAGCACTAGAACTAACTGACACTGAAGAAAATCATTTTTTCACTAATGTTTATTTCATTTGTGCCAGCTGACTTTGCTATCTTTGTACCCTTCGTGTGAGGTACACAGTAGACATATCCCTCATCTAAGTTTGACTCTATAAATGACTGAAACACGTCTAATATGCAACATTATCTATCTTCGGATAAATCGAATAAACACCTACTTTATTTAAATTTAAGGCTTCTTAAAGCCGTAAATCATGTTGGCATGCTTCTTGAGTATTGCATGGTGGCCATATTCTTTTCAAACAAATGCTTATTAATTCTGTAAATCTCTCAAATATACTACATTTTTGGTTTTCAAACCACATTACTAAATGAGCACGCCTGATATCAGACACAAAGAACTCGAAACGAAGTTGAAATTGAGCTGTCTGCATTTTACAGGTGGTCAGAGGTAGATTAAAAACCTTTACTTGTCACGCGTCGAATGGGCCGCGTGGTTGAAACAAATTAGCGCGTGTTGCATTCCCTGAGACTCAAAGAGTTAATGAAAGAACCTGAAAAAAACTAACCACTTTTGAAATAAGATGTTTGAGAAAGACTGCAAATAAAACCAGAAGAGATTGTATTAGAATTGAAGAGATTAGATTATGTATTAGAACAATAACTATAATTACATCTATTGGAAAACAGACTAAAATATTTTGGCCACTTTATGAACCAAGTGATGCTTGCAGTGAGGGCTGCCATAATGGAAACACCAAAGGGTAGAGGAAGACCTAGAAGCAGATGGATTGCAGAAGTCGCTGATAGCTAGGGACCTCACAGCATCACAAATACCACCTTGCTGCATTAAACTGTGACGTCTAGTGGCACGTAGCAGATACTGACAAAAGTTGAACGATATATTTATACATTTGAAACAGTAAAAATATCCCGTTCTTTTCTAATAAGTCACCTCAGTTGATGTCACAGGCACAGTCCAGTATTTTATAGGGTGGTAAGACTGGGTTTCCTGGCCTTGTGGTGCTTTTAACTACCCCAAAACACCTAGAACTGGACTTAACCCCAACCCACCTGCGTCCCACGAGAGGGTGCAGCCTAGGTCCCACAACTGCATGGAGCCTATCTACCACCCCCTGAAATATTAGACTGTCTATTTCATCAGTTCTCGTTATGCCTAGTGGCACATGAGGCTTCAGAGAGGACTTTCCATGCTTTCTTGTCTTGTGCAATCTTCAATGCAGTTTTCCATGTCAAAGATGCCAAACTTAGGTCACTTTCTATAATTCGTTTCCATGTTGTTTTTGGGCGCCCCTTTTTCTCTCTTTCCCTCTGGTATCCATGTGAGAGCTGTTTTGGCAGGTGTATCAGGATTCATTCTCAAAATGTGACCAAGCCATTTCCATCTTCTCGTGGTTATTGTACTGTCTAAAGTTTCTTGGTTTGTGACTTGAAGTAGTTTAGTGTTTGAGATTGTATCTGGCCAGAAAATTTTGATAATTCTACGTAGACATGTGTGGTGGAAGGTGGACAGCTTCTGTTTGGGGTGAATAAAAACAAAAGCACCAAATATCCATTTAGTCTTCAAGACAGTATGCTTACTTTTAAGAATATTTAATAGCTTTTGTAATGTTCATGTCAAAATATTTTTTATATTCAAACAAGTGTTGTTGAATATTTTCATTTGTTGTCTTTCAAAGGATTATGCATTGTTACAGTTCTGTTGTGACCTTAATTGTATAGACGGAGATATACAATAATGTTTTTTTCACTTTTTTGCTTTGAATTAAAAAGTTAATCTATAGGCATACATTTAAACGCAGATGCCACAAAACAGCAAATGATATTTTAGTTACATATTGTTACATGAAGATATATGTAATAAACACACTCATAAAATCAGCTGTTCACCCACAGGATGACTTATCTACTGGATGGGACTCATCAGTTTTATACTCAGAACAGGACATAGCACAGTAGCTGCACAACTCAGAACAGGACATAGCAGACTCAGTAGTTGCACATACAGAAAGCTGAAGACAGATTCCACAGCTGTGTGTACACAAGAACAAGCACCTTAAATTGCACAACATATACTACAATATAGTACTTAATACATCAAAGAAATATGTATTCTATAGCCTGAAGAAGCAAGACCAAGATGTCAAACTCAATAGAAGTCAACTAGATCTGCAGAAGATATTCAGGAAAGAAAGTTGCAAATTGTTAGACATGGTTCCTACTTCATGGCAAATGAGTCACCGCTATAATTTCTCCATTCCTGTGCCAGTTAATTTCACACAAAATATCCTTCACTGTCCCATTTGAAAAACGAGTGAAGCCGATCAGTCTCAGCAAAATCCAGAAGCATTTTGATCGGAACAAGGTGTGGCTAGTGCTGCATTGGTAACGCAGTTTTCACTGCTGACAGTATCCCCCGTCCCGCTGTTTATCATACCTGCAGAGGTGCCAAAACTAATGCTTAGCACATGCATAGGGGCATAAGGTACATAACAAGTTTGGATGCAGACCAACCGTATATAATTTTCTAAATATGCATTCACAAGTCAATAAATTAAGCAGATGTTTAATTTTGTGAGAGAACTTTATTGTATTCCTACCTCTTATCATTCTTCCAAAAGGGCTACGTTACTGTGGGACATATTTCTTGGGAGTATATTAGTTGCTTACAGGTTCATGATTTTGTTTTGGGTCACATAATTTAGATGTATAGTTTCCTAATTGTACTGTCCAGTCGGGTTAGTTCATAAAAATGTACAGTGTATGGCAGTGTTGCTTGTTTTCTATTGGATTAAAGGCAAAGATAATATGTAGATACATAAAGTTAGACCTAAGCATATACCTGTTTTTGGTTTCCAGTGTGTTAATAAAATATATGAACATAACAATTTAAAGCAAAATTTACTTACACAATGTGGTGGTAGCATGGGCAAGCAGTCTTAGAAAATCCTTGTGGCTAATGTCATCTGCTTTAAACAGTTCTATGATAGTTTTATTAAGTAAACAGGCTAGTTTACTAAAAGTTGTCAGAGAGGCAGGGTGTATGAACCAGGTGATGCTGTGAATTGGCACCATGACCACAGCTACAAGATTGGCAGGTCTAAAAAAAAGTGAAGCTAGAAGACCAATGAATTCTAGTAAACCAACACAGAACTAATCTCCTGTTACTACACCGTGAGGGATGTACCGAGGAGGGGTTCTGAAAGTTACATACTTATATTTGGACAGTCACTGCAGCTGTGAAATGGATAGCAGAAAATAAGAGTAACCAGAGGAATTAATGTGACTGATTCCCCGACGGTACTGTGGAAGGTTAAAAATAGACAAATGTGGCATGAGTGAATACCAGTCATTAGTATGTCAACATTACAGTGACTCAGGTGGAAATACCGTCCTGGAAATGCAGGAGTTCGAAGAAATGAAAGAACAGATTTTCAGTCTACAAAAGAAATAGCTACAGGAACACTTATACTGGACAAAGAAGACATTCTGAAAACCATTTATGAACTAATGCTAATAAAAGTCATGACTTCAGATGTGTAAGAATATGTGAACAGGGAATAAGTTATGGATCAGGCAATGATGGACGGGACATATGAGAGGAAGAGAACCACAAGTTTATTCAGTCTGCTACAGGAACAGTTAGCATCTAGACATTTTTCTGCGAGAGATGGAGCACCTTCGGGTATGCCCCGTCTGCTATGATGTTGATCTTAAATTAGCAAATAATTTTGGACTTAATGGTTTGATATGCACTTCAGGATAATCTGTCAACTGTTTAATGTTATGATATAAAACTTGATTTGTGGTATAGCTTTCTAAATGGTGAACATTTGTATGCACTTCATATACAGCAACAGATAAAGTAATTTGTATGTATTTTTATTTCTTGATCTAGATGATATCAGCGACCATCTGTGTGACCGGGTCCTCAGTGTCCTCTTCATGATTTGGTTAATGGCCTGCCACAAAAGTTTTCCTTCTCCTTCTCTGTGGAAAACCTTTCGTAATATGTGCTTATATTGGCGCCACCACGAAGCACTAGTCACCATGTGGCACAGGGTTAATCATGTGCTAACTGCCAACATGTTGAAGATTATGTATGGCCCTGACTTTCCAGAAATGACTATCGGTAAGGAAAAAACATGTTCATTCACTCTCGTAGTTCACCATTTTATTTCAGGATGCATTGAATGCTAGTGCTTAATTCTGGCTGAAGTATTTTCCTGACTTCAAATTTGTGGCAAAATCTGTTTCTTTGGCCTGCACATTTTCAGTGGAACATTTTCTTACCTTGGCTCATGTTTTTTCATTGTTATTATTCATAATGTTAACTGCCCTGCATATTGTGTTCTGTGGTCAATTCCAAGATAAATAATTCTTGTCTGTACCTGACATTATTTGATCTAGATGTGTATTCTTTTCTGACATTATGAGACCTGCTGAGATTAAATCAAAACCACCAGCCCTATCCCCAGGTAATGTTCCACACCAAAACCTTTGCAAGATTACCTTATCAAAATCGACCATGCGTGGATAATAATAGCAGTATATATTCGAGATTTTGCACTCCAATTTAACACACTAGTGGTATAACTGTAGTACTATGCTTGATCGCCCATGTATCACCCGGGCCCTCACGGGAAGCAAAGAACAGTGATACTGCACACTACCAGGCATGTTGTAAGAGGCGACTAAGGGTAGGATTGGGTTTGAGGTTGGCTACCTCATCCTGTGAAAACAATAGCTACAAAAACCAACCAACCATGAATAAGTCAAAAATGAGAAACAAATAAAACCAAGCCAGCCAAGATGTTGGGAGGCTCTTCAAGTAAAAGAAGTATGACATAGTGTGAAGAAAGCCGAAACGAGTCCGGATCATCAACATACCTCCTCTCAGCCAGAAAAACCTCCAGAATTGGCATCTGGAATGTTAGAACTCTCTATGCTATAAGGAGAACAATGGAAGTAGTAAGGGAAATGAAACATTATCGAATTAGTATTTTATTGTTATGTGAAACTAGATGGACTGGGGTGGGGAAAAGTATTCTTCTTCTGCGTTCGACATCAGTCATGCTAAACATTGAGTCCCGACTAGGTCACAAATAGGATTGTGCGTTTAAGGTCGCCACCGGCCCCACATAGCTTCTCTTGCAAAGTTGCTCCCTTGGGCCAGATCCACAGTCTTTGCTGGTAGAGGTAAGGGTAGTACTGCAGTATGTGCCCAGGGGTCTGTCTTTCTGCTCCACAATCACAGGCAGCAGATTCTTTTATGCCTATCCTGTACAGGTGTGCTCGAAGACCACAGTGTCCAGTCCGAAGTCTAAAAATTCATGTTTGTTCTTTTCTGTTGAGTTTGTTTATGCTGTCACTCTCTGGTCTGTAATCTCCATTCTGCCTTCTCTGTAGCTGTGTGGTGGATGAGGTTGTGGAAGATTACTCCCAGCTTTTGCCAACTCATCTGCTCTCTCATTTCCTTGAATACCACAGTGGGCTGGTATCCACTGCAAGACCAGTTCTGCTGAAAAGAATTCTAAATTCAGGGGAAACTATTTTGTTCTCAGGTCACATAGAGGAAAATTCACCCCACAGTGAAGGAGTCGCCCTGATGCTATCAAAAGAAACAGACAGGGCACTAATAGAATGGGAAGCTGTGTGTCCCAGAACAATAAGAGCGTCATTTAGAACAGTGAAATAGAAGGTGAACATGTCGGTAATACAGTGTTACGGACCAACAAATGATAAAGATGCATCCGTTAGGAAGAATTTTATATGCAGCTTCAAAATTTTATAAATAATGAACGAAACTACAGTATAAAAATTTTAATGGGTGACCTAAATGCTAAGATAAGATCAGATAACACAGGTTATGAAGAGATTATGGGAGATTATGGAAAGACATGGTCTAGGAGTAATGAATGAAAATGGAGAATTATTCAGAAATTTTTATGCAGGAAATCAGTATGTTATTGGTGGAAGTATTTTTGCCCATAAAAGAATACATAAAGCAATATAGGAATCACCAGACCATAAGCCAACCAGTCAAATTGGTCACCTATGTATTAACAAAAAGTTCAGGTCATCCCTTTATAACGTTAGGGCTTTCAGGGGTGCCGATATATTTACTGACCATTTTCTGGTGGTAAGTAAAATCAGGTTGAAACTCAAAAGGTATATAACATGTTATAATCATTGAAACCAGTATAAGGTAGGTTATCTCAGGGATAACCTGTTAAGGAACAATTCTCAGTAACAGTCTCTAAAAAGTACTAGGTGTTGCAGCAGTTAGCTGAAGATGTCAGCACTGAAGTCTGCTGGGATCAGATCAAAAGAATCTGGAATGAATCTTGTGTAGAAGTTCTTGGCAGGAAAGAACGGAAACATAAAGCATGGATAACACCAGAAATCATTAAATTTATTGAAGAAAGTAAAAGTAAAAAGGCAGACTTAAACAGTAGCAAAACTAGAGCTGCTAAAGCTAGAGCTCAGAATAAATACACAGAAGCTAATAAGGAAGTTAGGAGGCATATAAGGGCAGATAAAGTGAAATATCTAAATGATCTAGCACAAGAAGCGGAGACAGCAGCAGCAAAAGGAAACCTCAGAGAGCTTGGCAGTAACACAAGAAAATTAGTAGGTAAATATAATCAGCCAACTGGATCAATCAAAAATAGTCAAGGAAAGGTACTTACTAACACTAAAGATCAAATGGAAAGAAGGGCTGAATATTACTTCTAAACAGACCAGGCACAGAGGTTCCTCCAGATATCCAGCCTTTAGAAATGGAACTGGATATCAACTGTGAGATACCATCTAAGGAAAGGCGGCAGGTCCAGATGGTATCCCAGGAAAAGCCATTAGGGCCAACATAAAAACGTTAACAGAATTGCTACATAGATTTTTTATATTTAATAAAGTCTGGGAAACCGAAGAAATACAAGCAGACTGGAGAGAAGTGTTAGCCCAAAAAAGGTGATCTACAGGAGTGTGAAAACTATAGAGGAATTATGTTGTTGTCAGTTCCAAGAAAAATATAAGTAGAATTATTTTAAAAAGATTAAAAGATGCTATTGATAAAAAACTAAGAGATGAACAGGCAGGTTTTCGGGCAAACAGATCCTGTGCTGGCCAGATAGCCACATTACGTATAATAAAAGAGCAAAGCATTGAATTGAACTCACCACTTTACATTGGATTCATAGACTATGCATGAAAAAGCATTTGACAGCATAGATAGGGAATCTCTCTGGAAATTGATGGGGCACTATGGAATCCCACAGAAAATTATAAACCTAATTAAAGGCACCATATAAAGACATGAAATGTCGAGTTTTTCATGAGGGAAAGCTAACAGATACATTTGAAATAAAAACAGATGTGCAACAGGGATGTCTTTTGTAGCTCTCCTATTTTTACTGGCTATAGACGGGATTTAGCGTCTGTGGCTTATGCGTTGCGAACGAGCTTTGTCATGCCGAGGTGCAAGGTTCGATCCGAGCAGCCAACAGTCCAGAAAGCAATGGCAAACTACTGGATGTAAATTTGCCTATAAAAACCACAACAGCCAAAAAAAATGCTGGGGTTGGTGCTGCAACCTCCTGTAAAGGATACACAACTAACTTTTTATAGACTGGATTATGAATACAGTAACTGCCAACACCAAGAATAGAATTCACTGGACCCCTACAGAACAGCTTGATGATCTGGACTTCTATAAAGGAAAGACAAAGATAATGAGAATAAATCAGGCAAATAATAATGTGGTTTCTCCTAATGGCACCCCACTCCAAGACGTGCAGGCATACACCTATTTGGGCAGTAATGTAGATAAAGATTGGGGGAACTGATAGAGATATTAAAATAAGAATACAAAAAGCAAGAGGAGCTTTCATAGAACTAGGGAATTTGTGGCGGTCAATAGAAATTAAAAGAAATACTAAACTTAAAATTTTAAATTCTTTTATCAAAACAGTACTTTTTATGGGGCGGAAACGTGGAGAATAACTCAGGCCATTACTAATTAAAGACATTCATTAACTGGTGCCTGCGCAGAATAGAGGGAATTAAATGATATGATAGAATAACTGTGGAGCTTTGGGAGAGAAAAAACACATGGAGAAGAGAGCTGGAGAATGAAGTTAGAAAGATGGGGAGGACATGGTTGAAGGTCTATGCTCCATTGGGGGATAGAAAAGCAGAAGACTGTGCTTAATGTTCAGATGAAATAGTTAGATTTTGAGAGGTGTAGTTTTAAAAAAAAGGACTAAGATTTTGAGCAACCAAAGACTGTCTATTTCTACTCCTAACATGGAATACATGATTATGCAGCATCTTAAGCATATACACAACAAAAAAAAACTTAATACAAGACCTTTCCCCTCACTTTAAAAAACATGATTTTGTTGTCAAGACTGTAATTTAATGATCATTCCATAAAGATAAATAGAATAGATGATTTTATAATATGAACCTGATGATATAGACATCACATACATGTGAAAATACTTAAATGGTTCAGAGAAGTATATTGTAAAACACCATTTAGATGCTGAAGTGAAGCTATGGAATTGTACCTTAAATAAATGCCTTCTTCTCCTAATTCATAGAACTGGAAACAAAATGGTGTATATTTATGATGTTTTATTTGACAATAGTTATATCTCTCAGTTCAGTCCTGAAACTTACAACATCATAATGATATGTTATCAGTATGCCGTAAACAAGATTAACTTAAACCAGGATAAGTTGAAATGATTTCCTAGAACAGCATTAACAAAAAAAGTGTATTTAAAGAGTCAAAATGAAGAGTTATTTCTCAACATAGAAGCAGCATAGTTAATTATTAACACAAAATGATCATAGAATAAACTGAGGAAATTATTTAAAAAAAATATGTTCAAATAAATAAAAGTAATTTGTTGTTTTATAACTTGTGTAGGGATAGATACAAACAGTGCACAGTGAAGTGCTTTTAAAATCAATTATGTTAACATTTTGTACTTTTTCTTAGGTGAAGAAGAAGTCCAGTTACTTCCACCTGACATGAGTACAGAGTCCATTGTTCAGTGTTGGTTTCGCTTTCTGCACATCCTGCAGAATCCTGTGGACCTGAGCAGGCCTAGTGTTGTCAGCAATACCCCAAAATTCTTGCAGCATGCTCTCACTAGTGAAGCAGTTGTGGACCCATCCTACCATCCTTGTTTGGCAAGACTTCCTCTTGTATTCTTGAGAGCAATGAAGGGCATATCAGCAATGGTCAATGCTTTTCTTGGTAATGTTTATGATTTAGTATTAGGCTGACAAAATGTTCAACTATTCAGTCATATTATATGACCATTTCATAAGCAGCATGTGTATAACAGAAATGATATTTAGTTGACAGCAGCAAAACTATCATGAGGTAGACTCTTTAAGTTATGGATGAATGAACAAATAAATTAATCAGTCAAGAATTGACATTCCTGCATTTTGGACATTTCCACACCTGCTCCTTCTCCTTCTTCAGTAAGCAGCCAAGAGTCGGTATGGTTATAGTTCAGGTAATTTTAAAGAAAACTGACCCTCCAGAATGCAACATCAAAGTAAAGGAGACAAACCTCAAGCAAGTTGATATGTTTAAGTACTTGGGTACACTGATAACATCAGATGGAAGATATATTAAAGAAGTCAAATGTAGAATAGCTCAAGCAAAGGCAGCATTTTACAAAATGAAGCAAACCATAATTCCATCACTTGAATAATCAAATGCTTACAGAGTCAGTAAAACATTCTCTGTTTCATGTCTGCTGATGCCATCACCTTGAACACATTGAGTCCTTTCCTTATCTTCAACACTACCTCTTCCACACGGTACTTGAACGACAGGCTCCTATCAAAAGTTGTACTAAGATATTTTAGTAAAATCTCTCTCTTTATGTTACTACCATTTATTGTGATGTTCGTAACCTCATCTGTAACAGTTCTGTTATTGAATGAACATCACAATATCCCTTCCTTATCAGGATGGATGGTAGAACCTGTTTCATCACACTCCCCTACCTTGTCTACCGTAGCCTGAAGTTCTCTACATATTTCTATTCTTTTTCTTCCTTATCAAGTATCTTTTCTTGGTCGTTAAAACCCCTAACCCTCTAGGTAGGACTTGATATTTCTCTAGGTATTCCTGTAATTTCCTTGCCGTTATTTTTCTATAATTTGACCAACAGAATTTTGTTGTGTGATAATTCTAAAAACTTTTAATTTGGTATGATCTTTATTTGGTTTCAGGAGTGGTATAACGTAACTATGCAGCAATTACATTGGAACCAATGCTATTTCAGTGTTAAAGTTGAAACACTACACTGTCTTTTTTAGTTTATCCTCACCGAAACCTTTCATGTATCTGTATCTAACACCATCTGCTGATTTCTGTGGCGTAAACTCGAAACCTGTTACTTGAACTATGCTCTCATATATTCTATCCCTAGTTGCTTTAGCAAGATCATAACAACCATCCTCCTGTTGGTCTTTTTGGTTTGTCTGCTCTTTAGGAAAGCACCCCTCTCCCCCTTTTCACTTCTCACTATCCATTGTCAAGACCTGGCCCTTTTTAATTGTGTTTATTGATGTCATGTTTTACTGTCAGGTCTTCCACAAGAGATCAGAATGGAGTATCAGACGCATGATTCACAAACTGGCATGACTGGGAACAAGATGGTTTCTACACCATCCACACCTCCTGGACAGAGAAGAGCTGTGAAAACAATATCCGTTCTTACTGGCTCTCTAGCAACAAAAGGTAGAAACTGATTTTCTTTTAGTTGTTAGGAAACAGAACAGTATTCATGTTTTTCTTTTACATTCAGACATTAAAAATGCAATTTATGTTTATTAAACCTTTATATAATGTAGATCTTGTGTGTTTGTTTCACCCGCAGACACAAGGACAGCATATACAAAAAAAGTCAACCCATTGATTTCATTGACGAAATATGATCATCTTTTTATTTCACCTTCATATGCCAGAATAAAGTACATTCATGTGTATATTTTGATATTACACAGCACATGAAAAAAAGCTGTGAAAATTCTGTATTTTTTATTTTACAGTGTCTTCAAAAGCTCACGCAGCCAAACATATAGCGCACCCCCCAATTAACAGTGCTAATATGGAGAAGTTAATTTTAGACACGCGACTCCCATATGCTTCTAAACGTCCGAAGTGCAACAGTATTCTGCACTTGTTTGATGCCTGGCTATTTGATGCTTCATTGGCTGGAGTGGAGCTGCACCCAGCTCATGCTGCACCGGGTGAGTTTCTTTATAATTACTTTGTTCTTTCTTATTATATCGGATAAAAAAAATTTTCTACTAGTCTGTAAAAAATATTTTTCTACTAGTCCACATTCCTTTTTAATCTTGCTGAAGTATTTAGAATCATAATCATTGATCTTTCTACTTTCTGTGCTAACCTAATATGTACAGGATTTTAGTATATTATGATTTTTAGCTGAATATATCTGCCATAATTGACAGTTATGGCAGAGATTCTAGAAATCAGTATGCTTGGTGTGAGATGGGTGACAGATGTGGCTGGTAGAAACAAAAATTTCTCTGTATTTTGTTTTGTTCATCCTGATTAAGTTGTGTTGAGATTAAATGGGGAGAGGAAAAAAACAAATGTGAAGCTTTTGAGAGCTGCATGTTTTACATACAAAGAACTTAATCAAACTATACTGTAAAGACAAATACAATTTATGAGCCATAACAACTGAAAGGTGGCATATAAATAAATGTGTTTTATCTGAACATATTAGGCAAGAAAAAAAAAACAGAAATATTAAACAGTAAATTTAAGCAGCTTGACAACAGATAATATGAGAGACAACATAAACTCCATACTCACTGGAAAAAAAAATGATCTGAGTCATCATCACCAAAGTCTGCTTGATTTGATTTGATTCAAGAACCGACATCACAGCACTCGGGGCATTCCCATAAGCGCTCTGTCCCCATCTTCAGCAGCCAGCAAAGAGTTCCAATACTAATGGTGCCAGTAGCATTCTGATTAAACGTTCGTCTTGCCTTTCCTCTGAGCCTCGAGTGTCTGCCAGAACCTCTGGTCACTTCCCCCTACATCAATCTCACCAGACTGTGGTGATCAATCTGCTCCTTCGAACTGTACACGCTCTCCCACAAGGGCACTAACCACGTCTGCCTTATCCTGCATCAGTTTTCCACCAAGCTGTGCAGAGCCAGCCAGTCTGTCCGTCTGTTCATTTCCTAACACACCGGCGTACACCGGTGAAAAAATGCCACTCTGCACAAAGCATGCCTGTCTTGATCTTCCTTAGCATGCTTTCTAAGTCAGTTACAATCACAATGTGTGTGTGTCATGTTCTCTAGCCAGTGGAAAGCTGCTGTGACCACCTCCACCTCCATTCTTAAGCCGGATGTTGAAGCTGAAGAAGAAGAAGATATCTATGTCATTTGCATAGCTAAATATTTTTATAGTTTCTCCTTTACATTTTTATAATTTTCTCTATAGCCAAGTTGAAAAGAAGTGGGACAGGCCATCACCTTTTTCAAAGATGTTGTTTGAAAATTTACCTGACTTTCTGCCTTCATAATGTTATGAAGATGGGCACAGGATATAAGTGACTCCTTGAGTATGAAAGTACAGGAGGCGGGAGAGCTGGCGAGAGACCGAGTTTCCTTCAGGCAGACAAGGATGAGAGCGACGTTCTGCAAAGGACATACTGCATGATGATGATCATGATATTATATTTTCCATAAATTGTCTGGTCATGCTGATTAACTTCTTTGGTATTTCATCCAAAGTCCTGTATAACATTCTTGAAGTTTTTGCTGCCTACACCATCATCTGATTTTTATTTTTAAATCCACAAACATATGTACATCTCTTATGTATTCCCAGTTTTTTTGTTATGTGTCTTAAGATGAACATTTGATCTGTTGTTGATCTGTTCTGTTGGAAACCAGCCTGGTAATCACCTAGTGTACCTTCCACATGAGTTTCAGCATGTTTAGCAGTACTGATATGACATCTTTTGGCTTATATACTCCTCTATAATTTTCACATTTATGCTTGTTTCTTTACTTTAAGGTGGGTGTTAATAATGACTCTTTCCACTCATTTGCCTATGATGAAAGTGACATTATGTAAAGGACTTGCTGATGATGATGTTAAAAAGACAGAATGGCAGTCAGGTCCTTGAATGAGTGGAAGTTGCCCTTAAGGAAAGGTTTTTTTCCTGCCATCCTTGTCAGTCATTTGTAGAGATGAACACAGTTTGCACATGTGGGGACAGGCTCATGTGGTCTTTGAAAATTTGTTGACTTATTTATAGATATGGAAGTCTTGGTACAAGAGAAGACCAGATCAAAGACATTGCCATTTATGTCTAATTTGAGGTCAAAATTAAATACTGTGTGTTTTGGCAAGTACACAGAAATATTGGTGACAAGTGAGTTGACATTAGCACTCTCAAGATCACCACAACAGTCCATCAATACATTTCAGTTTAATACATATTAGCCAACATTATCTCAAGAGCTTGTTTTTAGTTCCTTTGTCAGTTGGATGTCTTGATCAGGGATCATATACACTGTTGATTTAATTGATGTGATACATGGAGATGCTGTATTGTATGTTAAACATAGAGAACTTTGAGGTCATTTTTCTCCTGTGCATTAATAATTGCCCAAACAATATGTCTTTTTTATAAAGCAGATATTTTAGGCAGCTGTTATTTTGTTCTGGAATCCCTGATCAGGATGTTAGGTATTAAATTTATGTTAGCCATTGTTATTTTGCTGTTGTTGAAAGAGTTACCTGAACATTTCATTTTAGTTAAAGAGCGCAGGACAAGTTCTTTCATTGAGTCCAAACACAGCTCGTTGTCAATGGATTTAAACACAGATCCGAATCAGACCCGTGATGTTGCTTATCAAGCTGGCCGTGCTGAAGCTTGTGGTGCCCTATGTCGCATTTTCTGTGCTCACAAGACTGGAGAAGTTATCCTTCCAGAGTACTACTCGCGCTTCTATCTGATGATGTACTATGGTTTGCAGACAGATGAGGTTTGTCTAAATGTTCGACTGTAATAGCATAATTACTCTTTCCTTAGCTATGTAACAGTGAGTTAACCTTTCAAAAACATTTTAATTTTTTGCCCCAGAATAATGAAAAATGTCTGAAAACCCAGGATTTCTGGAAAAATTCATTGAAAAAAAAAAAAAAAAAAAAAAACTATTGTAGGTGGGTTACTGTGAAATTTAAAAACAAAATAATCATTTATTTACACTATTGCTTACAAATTTGGTAATCTGCTAAAAATGACATTAAGGTAAACATAGTTATACAACAGCATACATAAAAATGCACGGTGAATATGATTTTATCCTTTAATCTAGACACCGATACCTTAAGGCACCATAGCATCACAACATACTGGACAACCGAGCGTGCCCTCCCCCGAATACGGATCATGTGTTAAACTGGACATGCAGCGGCACAAAGCAGATTATGAGCAAAAGAAAAAAATGATTACAAAAGCCATTTATTCATGATAAACTTTAAACCCCCTTTCCTGATTTCCCACCAACATGCTATTTTTAGTCAGCAAAGCCCATTTATAGACTTTGTATAGATTTGTAATGAATGCCGAAATCAATTTATAGGTTTCTCGGGGAGAAACGATTGAGACATTTTTGGTGCATTCATCATCATCATGAACCTTGCCGACTGGTGTATGTAAATATTCCTCTCCAAAATCGCGATCTTCAACATCATGTATGAGGTTGTGTGTTGACATCCTTCCATGCCATGATAAAAGGCTGTCAAGAATAATCTCACATTGTTTTTCTCTGTCATTCAGATCTTTCCAGTGGTCATATCATGGTCCAGTTTCCTTCTTCTCATAAAATGACTAAAAAATGATGACTATTTATTTTTATCTTTCTGAATGTTTGTGATAAGTTGTCTTTGAGCCCACACCTCTTTCAAAACATCAGGGTTGCTCTTTTAGACTGCCTGAAGGAGTGTAAGAATTCTTATGTAAAATCACATCTCCGAGACCTAAAAAAAATTGTTTGGCTTGTTTATTAATTGTCCAGGATTCACAGCCATTTGTTAAAACTGGCTCTATATACAATATGCAATTTTTTTCTAACCTCCAGTGACATGGATTAATTGCATAACATATTCTTTTTTTTTGTAAACTGCAGTTTTGACCTGTCCTTTTTTTTTTTAAATTTTGTTTTTAAAGTGTCTGTGATAGATCTTCTGTCAGATGTTATCTATGTGTTTAGATATTTAAATGTCTGTACTTGTCCTAAAATAATGGCTTTGACTTTTATTGAACATTCAGGCACTATTCCTTTGTTGGAAATCACTGTTACTTCTATCTTCTCACTATTTAAGCTAATTACAAATTTATAGTTTAGCATTATTTTAATTTCTTTTGACCTCCACAAATTTCCTAGAGCAATGAAAGCTCCACCTTCTTTTTTTATTTGTACTATATCATCTCTACCAGTTCCCCCATCTTTATCTACTTTACTGCCCCTTATAGTTATATGCCTGCGCGTCGAGTGGGATAAAATTAAGAAAAACAACATTAATATTTTACAAATTCAATCTCATTTTCTTTGATTTTCCCTTATGGATTTTTAGACCTAGCTGTTGTGATTTTGTATCAATTATGTTTGACTACACGCTATAAAGCAATAGGACTCTAAGGTAATGGCAAAAACTATTGCTTTGGAATTAGGGGATGAGAAAAGTACCTTTGGAGACTGTAAGACAAATCAGGCAGAAATTGAAAAGTGGAGTGCTGCCGAGTCTAATGAAAATGGAATAAAAGTAATTTGTGGACTTCCTGTTAGTGTTGTAAATGTTTAAAATGTACAGTACAATAAATAAGAAACATTTATAAAGTACTAGCCTGTATTGAAAGATCAGAAACTATGAATGGGTTTTGGTATAGAAAAGATGTTTTTAATTATATGGGTGGGGTAGAAACTGAGTGTTTATATAACTCCGTCATATCTGGCTTTTTTGTGTTATACGGTCTACCCTTCCGCCACATTAGGCCCCATATTGCAGAGTCTATTGTATTTCAATTACAGAATGTTTCAAGGCTTCAGTTTCACCAAGTATGTTGTTGTCTAGTCCACTTACCTTTCTTTTCTTCATGTAATGTAATGCATCCTTAATTAGTACATTTTAAGTTATTTGCGAAACTTTTCAGGACACTGCAGAACCAACCCTAGCATTTTTTGGCTGTTGTGGTTTTTCTAGGTAAATTTATGTCCAGTAGTCTCCCATTGCTTTCTGTACGGTCGGCTTCTTGATACCACTGTCAAAACCAATGCAAGGCACAAGACCCGCAACTGGGATTGAACCTGGCATGTTCGCAACGCCTTAGCCGTAGACGCCAACAATTAGTGAATTACTTTGGTTTAAAATGGAAAATAAACTCAGTAACATTGTCATAGATAACTTGGAATATTAGCATGAAACTGATTACCTCACCCTGTGGATAGTTCTTTAAAAATAAAATAAAATCGGCTGTTAAATTATCTCCAAAACCAATTTTTTTGTTTAGGCAATGAAGAGGGAGACATTTTAACTTCTGGGTACACAGGATACCGAAAAAAAAAAATATTTAGTGTTCATTAAAGCTGACATTTTAAGAAGAATATAATTTCTCACAAGGCTGTCTTCTGTCACATACTAGTTAATGTAATGTTTATTTTGTAAATGTGTACATTTTTTTGTTCTGTTAATTGAATTGAATGTCATTAGTGTTTGATTTTGTTTTCCAGTCTGTGGTGAGTGGTGAAGTGCTGTCAAATATCTTGTTCAACTCATGTTCATTGTTGCGTGTTGACTTGGATGGTGTGCAGCTTCTTCTACCATATCTTCTGAAAGCTATTGAGTTGGTACTGAGTAAAACAGCACCAGAGTTTAAGTAAGTTTCCATGTCTTTTGCTTACTGCATTGTCCTACACATTTTTAATCAGAACAGTCAGTGATTTAGTGTTTACATTTTGAGATTTGTAACATGGAATGTATGAACCCTTTATAGAGCTGGAACAGCTGAAGAACTGACCAGTGAGTTATCAAAATATAGAATGGATATAACAGCAATTCAAGAAATAAGATGACCAGGACAGGATACCTTAGAGTAAAATGGAATGATCATAGTGTATGGGAGAAACACTCAAAACAAACATGAACTAGGGACAGGGTTTGTTATCAAGAAAAAGTTGTGGGAAAGTATTATAAATTTTGAAACTGTTAGTGATAGGATCAGTCAGTTACAAATAAAAGGAAAATGGAAAAATATCACGATGTTTAATGTGCATGCACCCACTGAAGATAAATAAGATGATATTAATGAAGATTTCTATGATCTCCTTGAGAATATCATAGATGAAGCTCAGAAACGAGACATATTGATTGTCTTAGGAGATTCCAGTGCAAAAATAGGAAGAGAAAACACCTATAAAAATGTAGAAACTATGGGGGTGACTGCAGTCAAGCTAAAAATGTAGCATGGAAAGCCTACATACTAATTCAAATGATAATGATGGAGATAGCAAAAGGACTACAGGTAAGCAGTACCAGATTTGAAAGAAAAAATATACTTAAACAAACTTGGCAATCATGTGACAGGATAACTTATAATCAGATAGATGACATTTAATAAAAAATAGAAATGCATCAAACATACAAGTTAGAAGCTACAGAGGAGCTGAGTGTCATAGTAACCACTACTTGGTTGGTGCAAAATTAAAAATCAAGTTAAACATATCCTTCTACACCAAGTTGCAATGAACACAACCAGAGTACAATAGAGATAGATTACAAGAAACATACATATTAAAAAAATTTGCAGATGAATTAAAACATAAAATTGAAATTTTACAAATTCCGTCACAGAAAGACGTTGACCTAGATGGATATTGGGAAAATAATTCAAACCACTGCAGAAGAATGTCTTGGTGGGTCCACCATAAACAGAATGAACAAATGGTTTGATACAAAATGTTAAGAACCAGTCAGTAAGAAAAAACATGCCAGGCAGATTTGGCTAAATGATACTAGTAACATACCAAATAAAGAAAAATATAGAACAGAATGTAAAGAAGCTACAAAAGTAGTTAGACACCAAAAGCTAGAATACATGTCTTCCATACATAGTTTGGTCATGGTAATTAACTTCTTTGTATTCCAAAGTCCTTTATAGCATTCCCTAAACTGTTTCTATTCTGTTCAAAAAAAGAAACGCATAGTTACTGAAAGGAACAAACATACTCACAATTTTGACATTCTGCATCTTTGTAATGCAGTAAGTGATATTATTAAAATTTCACACATAAGACCTGTCATTTTATATGGCTCTGAAACTTGGAGCACAGCTAAAAGAGATGAAGCCTTATTACAGGTTTTCAAAAACAGAGTTTTATTGATCACTGGCATCATAAGAGCTAATAGACTGAAATGGTTGGAGCATATTGAGAGAATGTCAGATGACAGAGAAGTAAAAACTGTGTACACAAGCGAGATGAATGGTCATAGACCACGAGGGAGACCAAGAAGATGATGGAGAGATAATATCCAGACAGACCTGCAAACACTTGGTGTCAGCAACTGGAAAAAGAAGGCCAACCAGAGAGATGAATGGAGGTGGGTGTTATCTGCACCAGTGAACCTGGGATTTGAGAAAGTAGCTTGCCCAGCAGGTATTGAAATCAAAATACAGGTATGCACTTTCAGTAAAAATAATATCTATTACAGTTTCCAGATTTGTCATGTTTACAGTAATTATTATAATTGGAAAGGGGGGGGGGGGGGGAAGTTGAGATTCATAGTTGAGTTAAATTGATACAGACAAACTAGTTTATAGATTTGCTATAGATGTGTCAATTTTTAGGACATCAGGTTGGTTGTTTTCCCCCCTCAGACTGTGTGAATTGATTCCATACTCTGAACTGAGAAAGGCCAGCATTCATCTGTTGCTATCAATGCTGTGCCTACCCCTGCACTTTAAAGATTTGGAAATCAAAGGTAATTCACTTCTGCCACCTGTTCTCCATGCCTTTTTTTTTAAGACGAACCTCTTCTGTAGTTACATATGGATGCATTTTAAGTAGTTACAAAAGGATTTAGCAGCTGTTGTTCCATCTTATACATATACTCTAAGCACTAACCATCAGACTGAAAATGCAAAACAATCAGAGATTTGCCTGAACATAATAACAAAAATTGCCAATATTTACGAATACACCACAAACAAAGATCCATGAAAACACAATTTAAGTGATGTGTATGACTATTTTGGTTCAAATCATAGATCGGGGCAAAATATGTGATGGATTGGGTGTTGCAATAAGCAGACCATCTTTATAATCAAACCCTCTCCTTACATTTATAAGGAAAGATAATGTATAGAGAAAATACATCTGTCTTAAGAATCTTGATATTTTCTCTAGAACTGCTGAAGCTAGTGAGCTAGTTTTCGAAGGAAAAACTACTGCCCCCAGACCCAGTTCACTGGCCTCAAAGGGCTAGAGAAAAATGGAGGGGATTGACCTAATAGATGTGAAATAATATATTAAATATCTCACTTATCTTACAGAATCGCATATTTAGATCAGTAAAAAACTTTTGTAGAGTAAATAGGAGTATGATGTGAGGTGGTTGCCTAACAAGATATTCACTAAAGAGCATCAGATGAGATGGTTTGGTCATCTAACAAGAATACCCTGGTACTAATTGCCACAGAGAAACCACACTGAAGAAATATAATGAACACAAAGCAAGAAGAAAATCTTGCAAAAATATGGAATTATGGGAGCAAACTATGTTGACATATTTTATATGACTGACAGTTCCAACCTACAGTGGTACCTCGACTTATGAACTGCTCTACATACAAGAAAACTGGCTGCATAGCTATTTAATTCTGTTAGAAAACCTGGCAAAGATGCCCTGCACATAAGTGGCTTTAGAATCATTACAGTGCAGAACACACTATATGAGGCAAAACAGTGGAAAAGGTAATAGCCAGAAAACTGGGAAGCCAGTTGAAATACATCAGCTGCTACCCACCCCTCCCCACATACACACACATGCACGGAGCTACTGAGTTTAGTCCTCCTGGCGGCACTATGAGCTGTGATTATCGGTTATTGATTGAGTTCCAGATTCGTACATAATGGCAATGATGGGTGATGTATTTTTCTTCATTGTGTTCCTGGGACAATGCATGTGCTATAGTTGCTATTTATTTTCTGGCTGTGGCTGCAACTTGGCTGAGGACAAGTGGAGAATGGTCAGGAATAGTTTTAATCTACTCATCACCCAGCTATTCGTCGAATGAAGCTGATTTTAAGTGATGGCACCTGGTTTCGCAGTGTGTTTAAGGAGGCATGCACCTTATGGTTTGCCAGATCAAATGGTGTGTGTTTTGCTGACTGAGGACATTTTGTATGGCTACGGCATTCACTTGAAGTATCCAGTGTATCTGACTCAGTTTGTTACTGGAATGACTGGCATAGGCGGTTGAGCAATTATGGGCCAAGCTCATTTGCTGTGATGCCGTAACCGTAACGACTAACTAACTTACTAAACATGCATGAACACACACATACACACTCTCTCTCCCTCTCCCCCTGTCTCTCTCTCTCTCTTTCTCTCTCTCTCTCTCTCTCTCTCTCTCGGAGGATACAGACAAAATTCAGAGACGTGGCGTAATGCTGCCATTTTTGCATATGACAAATATGAAGGTTTTCAAGCTGGCTTTGAAACATGTCACCATAGATCTAGAGGATGCATACAACAAAGTTCCCTTTCCACCAGCCAATGTGTCAGTTAATGGAACTCAACATTCCCCCACATTTCATTCGTTGGATACCTGCCCCACTTTTCCAGAAGAAGGTTGTGCTTCAATATGGTAGTTGGGCTTCTGTGCTGAAAACAATACGCTCTGGTTTGCCACAGGGCTCTCCATTGTCTCCAATCCACTTCAACATCTACACAGTCAAGATCACAGGAGAACAACTGAGTGGCAGAGGAAGAACTCTGTTATATGTGGATGACATCTTTGAGTACCAACAGTGCAGGACAAAGATGCAATTTTTTCGGATCTATAACATGAATTAGATTGCTTGCAGTACCCCATGGGCAACAATTAATCCATTGAAAGTGACAGTCACCTGGTTCTCATTAAATAATCACCCTTGCAAAGCACCAGTGTCAATGGTAAAATTGTGTAGTGCTGACATGAAGAAATCTGATTCCATGAAATACCTGGATATAACATTTGATAGATGCTTAGCATTTAAAAAACATGGAGACCACATTATAATCAAAGCCAGGAAAAGTCTCTCAATAAAAGTTATGGGAACTGCAAGCTTTGAGCTACTTGCAATGTTGTATCATGGGTTGTGTCTCTCTACCATAGAGTATGCATTGGCCATCATTACACTCAGCACCACACAGATAAACAGATAGGAAAAAACAGAAAACGAGGCAATGTGTACAGTGGAACCTCTCTTAACAAGCATAATTCGTTCCAGAATCATACTCGTTAAGCAAAACACTTATTATGCGAAACAATTTCTCTCATATAAATTATTGTGAAATACGATAATGCATTCCATGTCGAAAAAAATACTCACAAAATGCTATGTATAACATTTATTGAAAGAAAATTATATACATATTGTCAAGGAGAGGGAATCATCTTTATCTTTTCTTCCACTTCGGAATGAACCCACCTGGAATGCGAATTCGATTTGCAGAAAAAAAAGTCGAAAAAATCATGATACATAGATTAATTTTTTTTTAACTAGATAGATGTCCAGAGACATTTGTTTTTGTCGACGCTTCAAAATTTGGTGAAAATGCGACACAGCATTATCATTAAATGAATTTGCAACTCGCACAGCCACTTCCTTATTAGGGTGATGCTTCTCAATGTAAGATGCAACAGTTTCCCATGCTTTCAGCATTTCTCTTATTTCGCCAGAAGATTGTTGCTTTTCTGTTACCTCCTCCTCTGACAAACTTTTCTTCAAAACTTCTTGCTGTGAAACACAATGTAACTCCATAAGCTCTTGGGTGGTCAGCTCTTGGCTGTGCTCTTCCACAAGCTCTTCAAAATAACTGTTATCCACCTACAATCCCATGATAGTGGCCAAAAACACAGTCTCGTTGACTACAGGTTCCATGGGTGCGGTCTCGAATCCCTCAAAGTCACAAATCGTCAGTTAGAAATAACTTGCTGGTCCATGGGCTGGAGTAACGGAGTAGTGTTGGGAGGCAGAAACTGGATCTTGATGAACTTAAATTCTTCAAGGAGGTCATGTTGTAAGCCTGGAGGATTCATTTACATTTATCACAATATAACACAAGTTTGAGAAAATGTGCGATCACAAGCGATACTACAATGCTACTGAAATGAGTGCTAAACACAGACTGGTGTAACATGCCCACAATTCAGGACTTCCCCTCTCCTCGTCACTCGTTATGCGAAACGTTGCTCGTTAAGCGAGTCATTCTTTTACCATTTGTTCTGCTCGTTATGCGAATTACTCGTTATGAGAGGTGCTCATTAAGCGAGGTTCTACTGTATTATTCTTGGATGCACTAGAGATACCTCTTGTAAATCATTTGATACCTCTCGGATTTCCTCACAATGGAAAATAGAATCAAGCTATCCAAAGCCCTTGCTTTCCTCAAAATGAAGTCAGACCCTCGACACCCACTTCATGAGAAATTATTCAAACAAAATAAAAATAGACTTAGGCAAGGAAAGTCCTCGATGGGTTGCGCTGAGGACGCCATTGAACATGTTTGCCACCTTACTGACATTAATGTCGGAAATGAATGGATACCCATGCCTCCTGCTCCAAAAATTAACAGAACAGTCCACATCACACTTGATGCAAGCTGTAGAGAGCAGATTTTGGCATTGTGGACATTCTAGTCAGAACTCTAATTAACATAAACACAGATAAAGGTGATGCTATTTACAGATGGATCAGTAATTTGTGGCAAGCGAAGTGCATGGGCATTCAAAGTAAGCTGAGTGGAAAAAACCCATCGAGGAGATGAATGGTGTCTTTATTGGTACACCTAGCAGCCTTACAATGGAAACTATGGCGGTAACAAGGGCATCAGCATTGCTTCATACTCTAAAGTTCACATATACTTGCATACATAGTGACATGATAAATATGTTTAAAAAGTCCAGGCTGGTTTCTTCAAACAAGAATATATTGCAGCACTATGCAGTTCACGAATGGCTGCCCTGACCTTCATCAGTGTGTCAGGTAATCTTACAAACACTGCAGTTGCTATGGCCGGACCAGTACCAGACAGAAAAGATGTTATCAATCCCATACGCAGCACTTACCATGACACAGAGCACGCCAAAAGGCTTTACTGCCTATCCCTCTCTAGGCTGATGGACATAGGGGTACAGCCTGAAGCTGCAAGAAATGAATGTTCCACTAGGGGGACAGGACATTTCCTGAATCAAAACAGAACAGGCATCATCAGTCTTTTTTTTTCACTTATGTAATGGAGCTTCTAAGGAGGAGATTACGTATAGATCTGTCTGGAGTGCTGTGATGATAATTCTTACTAATCACTAATCTACATGCGAAATTGTCAAGATGCAAACTTTTATAATATCCCATTTTAACCTAGACATACAGACATAGATTAGAGATATCAACTGTAATGCCTTATACATGCATTCCTATTTGTTGTTACTACATCACATGTATCTGCAAAACGATGCACTGAGGGATGTATGCTGCACATACATATTTGCTACTATTAATGTGTGTGTGTATCTGTTGTGTTATTTGTGTAATCAGACAATTGGGTTGGTTTACATGAGTTGGTTGGACCTCACCAAGGCCTGTGTACCACGCAGATAATTATAGCAGGCCCTTGACATGTTTCATACACTGGCAGAGATCATTGCTATGATCAAGCAGTATTTTTCTAAATTTGCCATACGCTTCTCCACCCCCATGTGGACTGAACTCCAAGTTGGTATAGCAATGGAGTGTATGATTTCTTTGGTACTGTTCATCATGGATGCTACCACTGAGAGCATTTATGGACGACACAACTATAATAACAGGCCGTGAAAGTGATGCAAATCTTATTCTTCAGAGGTTAGAATGCGGGGTCAAATGGTGCAACATGCAATTCAAGCCCCAGAAGTCAAGAAGTTTATCGATCCATAAAGATAACTAGATTCGTGGTGGCTAGCAGAAGGATCTCAACTGTTCTAGAGGAACCACTGAAGAGTCTCGACAATGTTTATGATTCAAACCTATCAGACAGGAAGGAAGTCCGGTGAATACATAAGTCTGTGGCAACAATCCTGCTTGCTATCAAACGGAGCAGGCTGATCAGGAAGTTCAAGGTCTGATGTCTCCAATTTATGTTGATTCAAAAGCTCCTCTGTCTACTGCTAGTGAACAAGGTTAGCACTAGCGCAGTAGAAGAAGTGGAGCAGAAAATCAACACACCCTAAAGAAACAGCTTGGCAGGCCACCTTGTCTGACTGACATTGCTCTTGTAAGGAATTCCAGTGAAATGTGACTAAAAAGCTTAACCAAATAAGGAAACAGAAAAACGTTCACATAACAACACAAATAATGTTTCAGCCGGCAGCCTTTGCCAAACATGAACTACACAAAGGTAACAAAGAGGAGATTATTCACATATCTAAGGGGTGACGTGAGCAAGGTTTAAAAAAAAAAAATTGATGTGGAATGAATTAAATTAAATGAACGATGACTAAAAAATCTTAAGTCGCAAAAAATAAAAAGTAATATTGTTAATTTATAATATAATTGTAGGAATAAAAGATATAAAATGTTAATGATACATAAATGATACTGATAAGAGATAGAATAAAGTAATAATATGAAAAAAAAAGAAAATAATTAAAATTAAAATATGATAAGAGTCAGTGGACATTTGAGAGGCCAGCCCACTGCCTTTCGCCTTTTCATCTCCAACTCCATGCGTCTTTTACTTCTTCGCACCACCAAGGTGAATATTTGTTTTTTCCCCGTCTGTTTCCACTCTTCCGTTTTCCACATAATTCTTCTGCAATACTAAGCATAGTGTTTTTATATTTACTCCATTCTTCTTCAATATTGCCAACTACATGTGGAAGTTGTTTGAATGCTGTCTCTACTTTCTGTTGTAACTGTTCTTTTACTCCTTCCTTTTTCAGATTTGCTATCTTGATGAGATCCTTGTTTTTGGTTAATTTCTTTCTGTGTTTCTTTAATGTAAGATGTTTTGCTGTTAACACAACTATTTTATGGTCAGTGTCACATAGACCATTAGAGATTGCTCTTGAATCAAGAATTCTCCTTCTTCCTTGAACTCTGGTAAGTATAAAGTCAATCTGGCTCTTGATGGAGACGTCATTCCATTTGTACCAAGTGTAAAGTTGTGAATCTCTATGATCAAAGAATGTGTTCGTAATAAAAAGATTGTGCTGGCTGCATAGATCCAAATATAATTTGACCATTTCCATTTCTATCACTGTTTTTAGCTGCATGTGGACCTAGAAACTGTTTGTATTCTCTTCTGTTATTTCATACCCTCCTGTTGAAGTCACCCATTATTAACTGTGCAAAGTTGCCAAATATCTGTGAAACAGAAAAGATCTTCTCAGTGCCCTCTAGCTGTACTCATATGAGAATATCTTAGGACAGTACGCCGACACAACAGCAGCAGAACCCCAGAAATTTGTGGAAATGTCACCCGTAGTTCAAGACCATATTCGGTTGCCACCACTGGCCTGCTATAGTGCTTAGGGGGCTGCCAGATGGTAGCAGATACGTACTGACCAAACCAGAATTTATTCTGCCATCAAAGTGGAATAAAAAAAAAATAAAAACCAACAACTAACGGGTACGCTTTGAGCATTACTGCAACATCTTGTAACTGCCCGGAAAGAAAATGACAGACAGACAGGCAGACAGACAGATAGATAGAACGAACAAACGAACAAACTTTATTTTCAAAGGGTTACAAATTTGGCACTCAGGCCCGTCTGACATTCAGCCCTTCTAAACACTCATGTATATAATAAAAATTATACATTATATAATAATGCATACACACAATATGTATACATAATCTTACACACTCAAACGTACACATACTCTTGCATTCTCATACATACTCACTGTTACACAGACATATGTAATACATTCATACATGCACCTACATACATATACGCACACATAATACATACATACATAGGCTACATCTACATGCATACATGATACAAACATACATACATACACAAACATTAAACACACACATACATACACAGACATAAAACACACACACATACATACACAGACATTCAAGCACACACACATTCAATACATACACACCTAAACATGCATTCATGCATACACACACACAGTCGCATATACAGACACCCACATACACACACATATGCCCACAATCAAACATATACACTCAAATACAATCACACACATACATACACCCACATGCATGCATACATACATACATACACACACATGCATACATACACACATGCATACATACACTCACATACTCTGACATACATACATACTTGCATACATACCTAAATACACACACATACACCCACATACTTACACGGCTACATATGCATACATATATCAACCAACATGTATAACTACACACATAGATACATACATACCTGCATACATACACACACACATACATGCACACACATGCATACACACTTTAACAATCACACATACAGACACTCACATATACATACATACACACATTCATTCCTACATAATATACACACACACACACCCACAATCACACATACACTCATATACAATCACACATACACCCACATACATGCACACACATACTTACAAACCTAAATATACATACATATATCCACATATATACACATAAACACACACACACCTTATAATACTTACATACACACACCACACACATGCACTCACACACACACACACAAACACACACATATATAAATCCATATACTTACACACATGAATACATTCATAGATACATAAATATACACACACACATACACCTACATACTTACGCAGCCAAATTACAAAATATGATAAGTGTATGTTAAATACCTGTGAAGCTCTGGCATTGTTAGTACACACAAAAATATTTGGTATCTGGAAAAGTGTAAGGGTTAATGGTTTGCTAGTCAGTGCATTATAACTTTTGTTTAATGGTTTGGTAGTCAGTGGGTTATAACTTTTAAAAAAAAAATATTTGTTTTTAGTTATTAGTTCTTTATTGGTGCCCATGGCTGAGTGAATATAATTAAATGTCAGTTGTGCTTAGCTAATTTTGTATTCTTTTTGTAAGTATATCCTTCAACACATTTTTGTTTTCTGTTTGTGATAGATATTGTTAGACAGGGTGACAATAATCCTCCAGTTACCTTCATGTCACTGAGGACACGTATTACAGAGCTTGTCAGAGTAGCTCTAACAAATGAAACAGACTCTCAGAATACTCAGATGCTTCTAGGTAAGTGGCTGTATTCTGTGTGCATTTAACAAACAAAACAAAAAAGATGGCCAAATGTACTGATTGACATTCAGAAAGTGCTATTTTATGGAAGCAAACTCTTTAGCCTTTAGGTACCACTTTTTTTAACAGTGTATGGCAGAGAGTCTTGGGTCTGAGTCATCATATGATGACAGATAAGGACTATTGGCTTGGTGTGTTAGAACTTCCCACCTCTTCTGTGTTGATGCTTCCTGCACAAACTTTATGATGTGTGGTCAGGACAAACATTGTCATACAACAGAATCACACATGTGAAAGTTTGCAGAGATGCTTTATTCTGATGGCTTTACGCAGTTTGTCTAATGTGTCCTTGTCGCGGATTGAATTGATATTTATGCCAACTTTAGTCCTTTATGGTAGAAAAGGAAAATGTTTTTGTCATTGTAACTTTACGAGTGAAAACCTTCCCTCTTAATATAGAAATACAGAACTATCTGTGTAGATAATCAGATCGTCAGGACGAGAATTGTTGTGAATCTACTGTTGGACTTCCACTTTAGTAGCCCCTGCTGGCCACACTCTATGTAGCATTGCTGAGGTTAATTTTATACTAATCATTCTGTGGATGTAAATTTTGACTTAAATTAGTGCTTTGGGTTCGTGTTTCTTCACAAGTACCTGCTTATTATGTATTTAGGGTACCAATAATGATCCCACATTTAATATTAAAAAAAAAAAAATTATTTGATGCAGTTTAGTGTTTCCATCCCAAAGAAAACAAATTTAAAAAAAAACCTAAGAAGGGAAGAAATAAATCTGTTTAAAGCCGCAGTTAAAACGTTAATTCTTAGCTAGTAATCTAATCCCACTACCAAAACCTTTTAAAGATCATTCTAAGCTTAGTGGCTTTAGAATCATCACCTTACAAAACACATTTGGGAAGGTCTTGGAGAAGATAGTTGCTGTAAAGTTAAAAAATTTTTGGAAAGGGGTAAGCTTCTCCCAAGAGGTCTGGGAAGTTACAGGCCAGGAAAGGACACGGGAAAATGCGCCCACTTTTGCTTTTGACGTCTATGAAGGGTTTCAGAACAGACAGGAAACTATGGCGGTAGGACTGGATCTCGAGGATGCTTATAACAGAGTGAGATACGACATCTTAATGACTGCACTGAGGGAGAAAGAGGTCAATCCATGGCTGGTGAATTGGGTTGCAGCTGTCCTGTAATCACGTCGGGTTGCTCTCTGACTGGGCTCATGGACCTCTGAACCAATCACTTTGGCCCCAGGACTGCCACGGGGATCTGCCATCTCGCCTGTGCTCTTCAACGTGTATACGAGCAAGATTGCAAGCCTAGAAGCACCAGGAGTTGAAAGGATACTGACTTTTGCGGATGATATACTTGCATATAGGCAGGGGGAAGAGAGGTAACAAACAGCCCGGGAGCTACAAACGACAGTAGACAAAGTGACTGAGTGGTGTACAGAATTGAGGGCTGTCGTCCACCCGGAAAAGGCGTCTGTTTTGTGGTGTTCTCTGGACAACAGAATCGTTAAAACTAATGTCCCAAGTCTCACGATAGATGGTAGAGACGTTAACAGAGAGAGCAAACTGAAGTATCTGGGAATTACATTTGACAGGAGCCTGTCATTTAAGGACAATGTGGAGAGTGTTGTGACGAGATGCCAAAAAGGACTTAGTGCACTTAAGACTATGGCTGTAATTGACATAGAGCAGAGAATGCTTTTCACACTATATCAGCACCTGATCCTGTCAGTGGTGGATTATGGCCTGGGACTGCTTACCGTCTCAAAGAGTCAGATGGACAAACTAGAGCGCATACAGAACGCGGCTATGCGGGTCATTCTGGGTTGCACCAGAGACACCCCAGTGGTGTGTATGCGATACATCCTTGGTTTGCCGACGGTTGCAGGTAGGCACAAGGTGATGCAGGCGAAGTCATATCTCAGGGTAGCTGCAGACACAGACCACTCTCTGCATGAAGCTCTGGGTGCAGTTAAGGGTCAGCAGCTGATAAGAGGAAGGTCATGGATGGCTCAGGCAGAAGACACAATCAGACAGGTTTGCATCCTTGAGAACATTAGGCGAGGAGAGGAGTGGGTCAAAGTGCCACCTGAGCAGTCAGACTTGTGTAGAGTCATAATCACGCTGAGCCGGGAATGCAGAGACTGGCCAGCAGGTGCCACGGAGGTGGAAATTCAGCAATTAATTCAAGATAATGCTCGCTCAGTAGATTTGATCATTTACACAGACGGTTCAGTGTCAAGAGGCAAAAGAAGTGCTTGGGGCTTTTTAGCAAAAGTTAATGGTCGACGTTTGGTGCAGCAGAGCCTAGCATATGATACCACAACATCCAGCTTAAGAATGGAGGTGGAGGCGGTCACTGCAGCTTTCCGCTGGCTAGAGAACACAACACACACACACACACATTGTAATTGTAACTGATTCAGAAAGCATGCTGAGGAAGATCAGAACAGGTATGCTTCGTGCAGAGTGGCATGCTTGGCTGCGGAGGACACGAGTGAGGAGTATTGTCTGGATTTTTTCACCAGGTCACGCCGGTGTGTTGGGAAATGAACAGGCGGACAGACTAGCTGGCTCTGCACAGCTTGGTGGAATACTGCTACATGATAGGGCAGACGTGGTTAGTGCCTTGTGGGAGAGCGTGTACAATGCGGAGGAGCAGATGGATCACCACAGTTTGGTGAGATTGATGCAGTTAGGGGTGACGAGAGGTTCTGGCAGAAGCTCAAGGCTCAGAGGAAAGGCAAGACGGACATTTAATCAGAAAGCTACTGGCACCATTAGTATCGGAACTCTTCGCTGGCTGTGCTGTGATGTCGGTTCTTGAATCAAATCAAATCAAATCAAATCATTCTTAGCTAGTAAACACAAGATGAAATATGGATATCTATGGGACAGCAGATTAGAAAGGGTTTGTCAGTGGAAGGGTTTCAGGTACATGATTAATTGAGATCAAGAATGAAGTTTAATGAGTTGCTGCACACTAAAATTTATTTAGGGATGGGAAACAGTTTATTATCCAGACCAGTATGCATGAGTCCATATTTCCAGGAGAGACTAAGTTACTGAATAGTTGTTAAGACTGGATACAGGCTAATTAGTAGAACAGATGTAGAATTGCCTAAAAAAGATATGAGTTAGTAAACATCTTATCAAAGTTTGCAAGAGTTTATGTACATAAAGGGATTGTTGTATTCAAACAAAATCAGGTACATCAAAACCTGTTGAAGTAAATTCAGGATTGTGTCAGGAATGTGTGCTGTCTCCCCTGATTTAAAAGTGTACATTGACAGTATATACAAAAAATAGAAAAGACACAAACTGTAATGATAGGTAGATAACAAGAAAGGATATCAGCAAAAGTAAATAACACATAGATAAAAGAAGCAAATAAATTTAAATTTCTTGGGTCATTTTCACAACAGAACGAAAAATGGATAAATCACCATACAGTGTGCACAAGTGAATTAGGTGCTGGGGCAAATAATGTCACTATTGACACAGGGATACCTTTGTCTTCCAAAGAAAATCTAATTACTATTTTTGGACCTACTTTATAGTATCTTTGTCACACATGGACCCTTAATACAACTAATTCTCGCAAAATGATAACCACAGAGATGATATTTCTTTAAAAAGCTGCTGGATTAACAAAATTACAATGAAAAATAATTTAGAAGACTAGTGTTGCAGAGCTGCCTCCTCCTAGCCCTTGATGGCTTCTGCAATTTAAGGGATTCACGGGTGAATGTTCCCCCTCGTAATGAGTACAGGAAGTCAGTGGTTGTAATCTTCCAGCATTAAATGGATGGATGCCCCTTGCATCCAATGAAACATACAAAATTAAATCATTTGAACATCGGAAATGACAGTTTAGTTTGCCAATTTATTTCACTTCATAACACAACTATTTATGAATCAAAAATCAGTAACTCTAGTTACCATCGGAAATAAAATAACAACAGTGTTAATACTTCACCATTCAGTTCAGCAAAACTAACAGTCTTCCTAACTGAAACTAAAATACTCTATATTACAGCCACTTCTATGGCCATGCTTTCATGGTAGCTCGGGGATCCTCCTGACAGTCTACCTACAGTATGATCTTTCTTCACCTGCAGCCGAGCCCCAACTGACTTCATGTCTGGCCGTTTCAGACTGATATCTTTCAGACTCTTTTGTGTTGTCTGACATGTCTAGACTGGTTAGAATTTACCGCTATACTGGAACATATTGTCACCACTGGAAAGATCTGTGGAAAGAGGGACAAAGTAAGACAACAGATGCTTCTTGAGTGCCATTTGTCATGGCATGGAGGGTGTCAGCACATGACATAGGTATGAACTGATACATGCTGTTGAAAATCGCAGATTTTAGAGAGGCCTGATCGTCGACGCCAGTCAAGACCCTTGATAATGATGATACAGAATTATGAAATATTCTTCGAATTCCAGTGTTGTTCAGATCTATGGTAATATAGTTTACTCTCTCTCTCTCTCTGTCTCTGTCTGTCTATCTCTGTCTCTCTCTCTCTCTCTGTGTCTCTGTCTCTGTCTGTCTTCTCTCTCTCTCTCTCTCTGTCTCTGTCTGTCTGTCTGTCTGTCTCTCTCTCTCTCTCTCTCTCTCTCTCTCTCTCTCTCTCTCTCTCTCTCTCTCTCTCTCTCTCTCTCTCTCTCTCACTCTCTCTCTCTCTGTCTCTGTCTGTCTATCTCTGTCTCTCTCTGTCTCTCTCTCTCTCTGTGTCTCTGTCTCTGTCTGTCTTCTCTCTCTCTCTCTCTCTCTCTCTCTGTGTCTCTCTCTGTGTCTCTGTCTGTCTGTCTGTCTGTCTGTCTGTCTGTCTGTCTGTCTGTCTGTCTGTCTCTCTCTCTCTCTTTCTCTCTCTCTCTCTCTCTCTCTCTCTCTCTCTCTCTCTCTCTCTCTCTCTCTCTCTCTCTCTCTCTTTTAAATATGTGTGTGTTTGCACATACCTTGTGCAAAGTGGTGTTATCTTTGACTTCAGCTGTGAAAAGTAGCTCTGTGAGTTTCTGATAAAGACTTAAAAATGTATAGGAAGGCATTACCACTATGTAACCCCACACTCCTAGATAACACTCACATGTCAGGCCTCAAAGAAAAATAATGTAGGGCTCTTGACACTTAGTAGCTCTATGTGTTTGTGGAAAGACTTAAAGGCTAAATGTTAGACAGGCCTGCATGCACAGTTTGTAACCCTTTGGAAATAAAGTTTGTTCATTTGTAAGTATGTCAGAATGTTTAAATGTGGGTCTAATTCGGAGGCATCTGGATATTTGCAGGAGGTTTTTTGTTGCTTGTTGAGGATCTTGCAACAAGTGAACAGACAGACAATGTGACTCTGCAACCACAGCATGACATGCCAGATTCACAGACACAAGGTAGTTACTTACTTTACTTTACTTTTTCCTTCCACGTATGCCGCTAAGCGTTGTGGGGAGATGCAAGTTCCTGTCATAAGCAAGGCGGGCAGCATCTGATGTTCTGAGGCCATGCTTTTGGCAGGTTTCGGAGACCCCGTCAATCCACCGTTTCCTTGGTCTTCCTCTTGCCATAAATCCTGAGCTTCTTTGGTTGAAAATTTGTGATGTTATTTGATCATTTTTCATCCTGGTTAGATGTCCAAACCATTTCATTCTTTGATGTTCTATGTAGTCTAAACATGGCGTAGTTTTGACAGTGTTTCTAATGTCTATATTCTTTATCCTGTCTAGTCTGGTCTTGCTCGCTGCTTTTCTTAGACATTTCATTTCACAGGCTTCTATTTTTCTTTCATGGGTCTTGTTGATTGTCCATGTTTGGAACTGGTAGCAGAGTGTTGGAATGAAGATGGTGTTTATCAATTGTCTTTTGGTCTTCATGGTTATATCTGGATGTTTAAGCAGAGGTGATAGTTGGTATGTGACAGCATTTGCTTTCTGTATTCTTGTTTCTATCTCTCTGTCCATTCTTCCATCCTCTGTAAATATACTGCCCAAGTATTTGAACTCTTTGGTTTGCTTGATTTTGGCACTTCCAACATTTATATTCAGTGGCCTGTGTGTTCTGCTGATCTTCATAACTTCTGTTTTTTCTGTACTGATTCTCATATTATGTTGTAAACAGCTGTTGTTGAGAGTAGTCAGATGTTCCTGTAGATCATATTCATTTTGATACAGTATGCTTTGATCATCAGCAAAAAGTAATTCGTTTATAGCATACACGTCTGGGTTTGCTTCTACAGTGATCTTATCCATGTATGTTATGAAAAGTAATGGTGACAGTACACATCCTTGTCTGACACCAGTTGTGACTTTGAACCATTCAGAAAGACCACTAGATGTTCTTACTGCACTTTCACTTTTTTCATAGAGGGCTCTGATGTTGTCTAATAATTGACCCTGCACTCCGTAATCGTCAAGAATTCTCCACAGCACATCTCTGTCTACACGGTCGAATGCCTTCTCTTGATCTACAAAGACCACGTTCAGCTCTTTATCGTATTCGAGTGTCTTTTCACAGGCTTGTCTTAGTGCAAATATGGCATCAGTGCAACCTCGCCCTTTCCTGAAACCGAATTGTGCTTTACTCAGTAGAGGTTCAACCTTTGCTCTTATCCTACCTTCTAAGATCTTTGCATACATTTTCCCCACATGACTTAGTAAAGATATTCCTCTATAAGTTCCACATTCTCTCTTGTTTCCTTTTTTCTTCCAGATAGGTACTACAACTGATCTTTGCCAATCCACTGGTACCTTTCTCTCTGCCCATGCTCTATTGAAAATTCTCTCCAGCCAGGTGATCATAGTGTCCCCTCCAGCCTGGATGACTTCTGTTGTTATTCCGTCAATACCAGCTGCTTTGTGTCTTTTACTTGTTTTGATAACTTTCTCTACTTCATCCCGCAGGATATGTGGTTCTAGATGATCTGGAGCCCTTGAATGGAATTCTGCTGTTTCATGTACTCCCGACGGGTTCAAAAGTTCTTTAAAATATTCCTCCCATCTTTTTTTAATTTCTTTTTGGCTGAATAATGGTTTTCCGTTTTTATCGTTTATGACTGATGTTGGATTGAAGCTTTCTTCTCTTAATCGCATCGCTTTCACACTCTTATGAAAGTCTCTTGGTGATTCTGTACATAGCTGTGTTAGGTGTTCACCATACTTTTTCCATGATTCCTCTTTGGATTTCTTTATTGTTCTCTTGGTGTCTCTTCGAGTTAGTCTGTACCTAATGTAATCCTTTTCGTCTTTTGTTTTTAACCATATTTGAAACATCTTCTTTTTATTTGACACTGCTTCTTTGACTTCTTCATTCCACCAAGCGGTACCCTTTTTCTTGCCTTTGCCCGTCTTTCTGGTACCACACTTGTCTTTTAATATCTTCGTGATGGTTGATTTATAATAATCCCATTCTTCTTCAATTCTTACTGGTTCCTTGGCAATATCTGCAAAAGCCTTTGTTATTTCTAGTTCAAATTCTTGTTTGATATTCTCTTCCTCTAATTTCTTAGTGTTGATGATTTCTTCACTTTTCTGTTTATGTAGACTGTTTCTACTTGAGTTGCATATGTTCATAACTACTGGGCGATGGTCTGAATCCAGTCCCGCATTTGGGACAGCTTTTGAGTCTCTTACCGTCCTCTTCTGCCGTTGTCTGACTAGTATAAAATCAATTTGTGACGCTTGATCTAAGTTGTTCCACTTGTACCACGTTTTAACCTGACTTTGGCGATGTTGGTAGAATGTGTTGGTAATGTAGAGATCTTGTTCAGCACACAAGTTTAACAGGTGTTCTCCATTTCTATTGCAATCTGTGGTTGTGTCGCTGAATGGGCCAAGGTTTCTCTCCCATGGTGATCTTCTTTTACCTACCCTACCATTAAAATCTCCCATTACTATGATGTCCTCTTTCTCTTTAACATTATTGAATGTGTCCGTAAGTCTCTCGTAAAAGTCTTCTTTTTCTTCTTCAGAATAACTATCGTTGCAAGGTGCATATATCTGAATAATCGTTGTAGTTTTACTTCCTTCTGTCAACTTGATTAAAATAATTCTTTCTGATATAAATTCTGTTCCTGTTATTAATTTTGCTGTCTCGGGATGAAGTATAAATCCGACACCATGTTTTGCCCTATCTTTAGTGGGTACTCCGCTCCAAAATAAAACATAATTTTCATGTATTTCTTTTGTATTATATCCTTTCTTTCTTGTATCCGCAAGACCCATGACGTGTATATTTTTTCTTTTCATGAAATCCACTATTTGTGGCTCTTTGTTGGCAATACCACATATGTTCCATGTGCCTATGTAAGTCGTTTTTCTGTCTCGTCGTCCTTTAACGTTTCCAGTCCATTTTCCGTTTGGGGCTGTCCGTTTATTTATCTCCTTTCTAATTTTCACAAGGTAGTTACTTGATTTAAATGGTTATAACTTCAGTTTGCTTGAAGAGATGATAATCATCTGACTGGGTGACACAGGCAGTTAGGTTTCTCTACAACCATCTGTGCATTTGATTGTCTTCCTCTCCTCCTCCTTCGCATTCTGCTTCCACTTCCTCTTTCTGTTCCTCCTCCTCCTCCACCACCTCTTCCACCTCCTCTTCTTTTTGTTCATCTTGTGATTAGTTTGACTACTAATCTCAACCACTGTGCCGACCCATGCACATTCTTTATTTTTTTCTGTGTTTGACTTGTCTCTATACCTTCACCTTTTCCCTTTGGCAAAAGTTTGTTGCAGCATTTTCTTCTCATTATATGACTAGTGAATGATAGTTATTTTACCCTGTTGGGAATAATTATTTGTCTTTGTGAATGTTCTCTCCAGCTATTCTTGAATGTATGGCTCTTGAAAAAATACTTTAAGCTGTCCATGTGATTATTAGCATTCTGTAATGGAATGACATTTAGTCTCACAGTCGATTTCAGATGTTAAATGAAGTGTCTGCCTGAATGACCATGGGGGTGATCACCTACCATGTTCAGTCCTGATTACTAAACCCAAGGCTGGGAGAGCACGCCATACCTTCCGGTATAAGTGGACCAACAACCTACTTGGATGTCTCAGACAGGGAGCATGAAGCAGGACTTCCAAAACTAATTTCTACAGCCCCCATAGTTGATTCCAGAAGTAGAACAGGCGTGGAAGGCAAAGAGAGCTGCAGTGAAGCAGCTAAAGAAAGTATGACAGACACCCCCTAGGCTCAGGAGAGGAAGTGGAGATGGCAGAAAATGTGAAAAAAGATAAGGTGAATGTTTTCAAGCTGTGCTGCAGAGGCCAAAAGAGCAAATTGGGAAACTTTTGGGAATGATATGTTAGGCGATAAAAAGCTGGGGAAATTCTGGAAACTGCAAAGGTAGATGCAAAGAAAAGATCAGCCTATGACAATGGGAACAGTTTGAAGAGACAATGTTTTGCGCCTGACAACAGTCAGGGAGAAAGGGGAGGCTTTTCTCCATAGATTTATAGCTCAGATAGATCATAATGATGTAGACATTAGGGAGTAGTTAGAGAGGAGTTAGCTGGCACCATAAAGAATATGCATTTTAAAAACATGATATGAATGGAAGATATAAAACAAATTTTGAAAAAGGTAAAAGACTGCACCAGGGCTTGATGTGGTCAGGTATGGCCACATGAAGGCTTTGAGCGATGTAGACCTGGCAGAGATGGCCGACTGCTTTAACCATAGCATTAAGACAGCATCAGTACCGCAGGACTGGGTGCACAGCTATCTAATTCCACTGCTAAAATATTTTAAGGATCATTCAAAGCTCAGTGGCTTGAGAATCATCACCTTACAAAACACATTTGGGAAGGTCTTGGAGAAGATAGTTGCTGTAAAGCTGCAAGAATTTTGGGAAAGGGGAAACTTCTCCTGAGAGGTCTCCGAAGCTACAGGCCAGGAAAGGACACATGGGCAAATGCAGCAACTCATCCTTATGATGTTTATGAAGGGTTCACAACAGACAAGAAACTATGGCAGCAACACTGGATCTCGAGGATGCTCAAAACAGAGTAAGACACATTTTGATGACTGTACTGAAGAAGAAAGAGGTCAGTCCCTGGCTGGTGAATTGGGTTGCAGCTGTCCTGTATTCACGTCGGATTGCTCTCTGTTTTGGCTCATGGACCTCAGAACCACGCAGCAACAGGGATCCGCAATCTCGCCTGTGCTTTTTAACATGTATACGAGCAAGATTGCAAGTCTAGAAGCACCAAGAGCTGGAAGGATACTGACTTCAGCAGATGATATACTTGCATATATAAGGGGGAGAGAGGAAACAAACAGCCCAGGAGCTACAAGCCACAGTAGACAAAGTGACTGACTGGTGTACAGAAATGAGGACTGTCGTCCACCCAGAAAAGTCGTCTTTTTTGTGATGTTCTCTAGGCAACATTAT